TTGGTAGCTTGAAGATGGGTGGACTTCAACTCCCAGAATCCCCCAGCCAGCAGCGCTGTTAGGGCTGATTTTTACCATCAAATGTTGGTCGTTCATATTCTTACAAATCCTGTGTAACCCCATGTAACTGAGATAAGTTAGTATTCCTGATATATGGGGATATAATCTTTGAATATCAACACTGTGGGTGCACACAATAAATCTGATTGTTCATAACAGCTGAGAATGTCCTATTCTACAATGTCCATCTGTATAGGTCTTCAAAACCCTTGGCAATTTTTTTTAAAAAAAAGTTTATTTTAAAAATGTGATCAGTTTATATATAGTACCAGTACCAGTCCAGAATTCTTGTTTCGTAAAGCTTACACACTTTTCTGGAAAGTATATAAATAGATATACATTCAAATAAAATTCATGGCACGTTTGTCAAAGCTGAATTGAGATGTCATGTAATTGAACAAATGCAAATATTGCTTAACGCATTGTAAGCCGCCCTGAGTCTCCGGAGATGGGCGGCATATAAATCAAATTTTATATATATATATATATATATATATATTCTCAGGTTTTCGCGGGTGTTTGTATGTAGGTCTTTGGTTATTCGGGTCTATTCTCACATAAAATTGGAAGTGTCTTGGCGACGTTTCGACGAAGTCTCATTCATCATCTTCAGGCTGGTGTTCTCAGCTTCATGCTTCCAGGAGCAATATATATATATATCAAATTGTCCTCTCCTCCATTCTCCACAAGATTCATTTTGAAACCATGGACCGACCGGTAAATCTGATAATTTCGAGTTTCCTTCCAGTGCCTTGGGTCAAGTTCAGTTTGTTAATTGATACAGGTAGTCCTCGACTTACAACTATTTGTTTAGTGACCGTTCGAAATTATAACCACACCGAAAAAAGTGGCTTATGGCCTTTTTTCACACTTATGCCCGGGGTGGGCTGCTGGGGGTTTGCAGGGGTTCGGGAGAACCTCTAGCTAAGATTCTGTGCAGTTCAGAGAACCCCACTCCTGGCTAGCCCCGCCCCACCCACCCCACCCTCCCAGGAGTCCCCATGTGGCCTGTTTTGCAGGGTGCACCCGGAGGCTTGGAGAGGGCGTAAAACGGGCCTACTGGAAGTTTGGGAAGGCCAGAAATGGGCCCGTTTGAGGCCTCCAGAGGGACTCCGGAGCCTGGGGAGGCCGTTTTCACCCTCCTGGAGGCTCGAAGAAAACCTCTGGAGCCCGAGGAGGGCAAAAATGCCCCCCCCGCGCCATGGTGCAAGAGGCCAACTAGGCCACGCCTACCCAGCAACTGGACAGAGAACCCCTTGCTAAAGTTTTAAACTGCTTAGACCAGTTGCAGTACCCCCAGGGTCACGTGATCAAAATTTGGATGCTTGGCAACTGGCATGTATTTATGACAATTGCATGTCCCGGGGTCATGTGATCACCTTTCGGGACCTTCTGACAAGCCAAGTCAATGGGGAAGCCAGATTCACTTAAAAACCATGTTATTTATTAAGCTTAATAACTGCAATGATTCCCTTAAGAACTGTGGCAAGAAAGGTCACCAAACCGGACGAAACTCACTTTATCACTGTCTTGTTTAGCGATGGAAATTGTATGCCCAATTGTGGTCGTAAGTCAAGGACTTCGTGTATTTTCAAAAAGCTAATACCAAGATTTGGGTGCATTTCTTGAAAACCACGTTATTTTTCTTTGCAATTTTGCTAACGTCGGCGCTTTCTGCAAGTAATTTCCCCTCAGTGTATCTATGAGCTTTACTGTCTTATATGCACTTTGTATAGACTTCCCTTAATAATCTTTAAAAAAAAAAAATTGTTGCATTGCAAACATTGGAAAGGTGCCCATTCAGAATGTTAGCCAAGTTTCAGTTATTTCCTAACTTCTAATTAAAGTCTTAGGAATGTTCATATTCAAATGCAAACTAAATGAATTTCTCCTTTCTCCTTGCCAGAAACAAGGTTTAAAACCTGAAATTTTAATTGTTCGATCTAACAGCCACATAGCTCATGAATTTAAACACCAGCTTTAAAAAAAGACAATAGATTATCTGAGCTCAAAGGGATTTAAGAAAAGCTTTCTTCTGTCTAACAGGTGTAAATCAGACAGATCTGCAGTGAAGGCAATGGAATAGATCAAATCATTTATTTTTCAATTCAAATATTGGGGGGGGGGGGGTGTCAGAGGGTGGGGGGGAAGGACCCGACTCTACTTCATTTTACAATATCAGTTCTCCACTAGACTTCAGACTTTCGTTTGACCTTTTCCACAACCATTTCTGAAAAGAAAGGATGAAAGAGTTCAAAAAGTAAACGTCGTACTCCTTTAAATGCAACCACAGTGTCAAGAGACACATTTGAAGGCAGTTATGCTTGCAGCGTTCCCTATCTTAAGTGCTTCCGAAATGCTGCCAACTAAAAATTCGGCAAATCCACTCTTTTTACCCAAACTGTACAAAAGTCCTTTTGAGTTAATGAATGTCTGCCTGTCGCTGAAGACTACCGCTTTAAATTCCGTTTTTTGTTTTTTGTTTTCAAAGGCTTCCATTGATTTTGGCATCAAGGCAGAGAAAAATGAATGCTAAAGGACTCCCTTGAAAGACACAGCTCCAATTAAAACGGGGTGTAAATCAAGATACGGTGTGGGATCTTGCCGTCCCAAAATACTCGCTAAGACTTTGTGTGGCCTGGTTAAGTGGTTGTATTGAAAATCATAAATTATTGGGGTCTCAGAAGTTGGCAAAGGGGCACCTTACAGCCTCGTTTCTTGAGAAAGTGTTTAAACTTGGTGCTGTAAGAGATTTGTTATAGCTGGATTACTAGGAAGCCACCTTTCATATGGAAAGTTAGCTGGCATGGATGCTACGGCCAGGGGTGGGATTGAAAAATTTTAGCAACCGGTTCTCTGCACGGTTGCTGGGTGGGTGTGGGCATGGGGGCATGGCCTACTTGGCCTCCTGCACCATGATGGGGGGGGGGGGAACAGGATGTTTTTGCCCGCCCCAGGCTCCGGAGGCTTTTCTTGAGCCTTTGGGAGGGCAAAAACGGCCTCCCCTGGGCTCTGGAGGCCCTCTGGAGGCCAGAAAGGGGCCTGTTTCTGGACTTCCAGTAGGCCCGTTTTTGCCCCTCCCCAGGCTCCGAAGGTTTTCCTCAAGCCTTCGGGAGGGCAAAAACAGCCTCTCCTGGGCTCCGGAGGCCCTCCAGACTTCTGGAACTTCTGGGAGGCCCATTTTTTGCCCTCCCAGAGCCTCCATGCAAGCGCTGCACTTACCTGGCATCCAAAATGGGCCACATGGAGACTCCTGGGAGGGGTGGGGTGCGGTGGACAGAGTCAGCCAGTCCTTGCAACTACCGGTTTGGCGAACCAGATGTAAAATTAGTATCCGGTTCTCCTGAATCTGTCCAAACCGGCTGAATCCCATCCCTGGCTATGGTCATGCACGGAGAGGAGACATTTCAGTGGTTAATGCTGCAAATTATAACATGGTGGAGATGGTATAATTTTGTGGAAAGACAAATGACTGAACATCTTCAGTTGACTTTAAAGACCATTAATGACTTAATGCAAGATTAATTATTAGAAGTCAGCTATGTTCACCTGAACCCTAATTCTGAGTTCAGAATTAAACTTTTTTTTTTCTGGATACCTATAATAAACCCAATCATAAAAAAAAACTAAAAAGGCTGGATTCACACAAAGCCATAGGAAACTAATTAAGGTTAATGTAGGTAAGTCCTCAATTTAGGACTGGTCAATTTAGGACTGTTCCGAGTTTCCACTGTCTTGGAATGGGTGCTTTATGGTCTATAATACACTTTCGTCCATCGTAAAATGTCAAACTCCCCACCCCATCCCTGCAGTCATATGCCTTCATTTTGGGTAACAAACAATTTGCAGTTGGTTTGGTTGGCTTTTGTCATTTTTGCCAGTTTCTGACAAAAAAGCCCTTCAGAAGAATGGATTCACTTAATGACTGTGCCGATTGCTTAAAAACCACTCCACAGAATGTTAAAAAACAACAACAACAGGTCTGGTCACATGGGTGCCTCAGGTTATGACTGGATTTCCAGACTCAGTTGTGGTGGTTATTTGAAGATTACCTGTACTACATATACTTAATGATTTCTCTGAATGATCCAAATCTTTACCAGACCTGATAGTGTTGTGTGAACACAATCCGTGTGTGACTCAGCTGAAACATGAAGGCCAGATTTCCTTCACCTTTCTGCCCTAAGTCTTCCTTCCCCGGTAAATACTGTAAGAGAGCCTACATTCACTGCAGCTAAATTAGAGCTGAGAGGCCTTTTGCTTTTCCTCACAATGCCCAATAAATATGTCCATTATCAGAAAAGTTCCCACAGGTATCGATGGAAGTTTCTTCTAAACCAGGTGCTCATTAGCAGGCCATGGCCTATTCAAAACTGGGCTGCCACTCATGTAAGTTGAGCTGCCAGCCCGCCAATTGCGCCAGCCCCCCTCAGCCCCTCCACTGGGCCACCAATCTGCAAAGGTTGGAGACCCCTGTTCTGAACCAGGGGTCTCCAACCTTGGTAGCTTTAAGACTTGTGCACTTCAATTTATTTTTGACATAAAACATAAAACAACATCTTTTTATGTCAAAAATAAATAAAAAATATTTAAAAAAAAATAAAATAAAACAAAATTAAAGACTTGTGGACTTCAACTCCCTCAGCTTCAGTGGAGTTGAAGTCCACAAGTCTTAAAAGTTGCCAAGGTTGGAGAGCCCTGGTTTAAACTATAGAAGCTCTAAAATATTTAGTGAGAAGAGTTAAATTATTTCTTTCTCCTTGCCATGTTCCCAATATCAACCTTTCCCTGTGGCTATTATGTGTACGAAAAATTGTGTTTGATAAGTGCATTCACACAATTAATTTCAGCTCTTGGTTGGCCACTGGAGATCTTATTAGGGACAGATGAAATGTGTGAATCACAGCTTCTCGTGGCAAGTTGATCAGGACTCAAAAGAATATCAGTGGGGGTCTTTATTCCTAGCAGGGGCATAATTAACAGATAGATTAAAGAATGCTAACCATGATTAATGTACATTTATCTGCATGGCTTATAAGATTCCACTTTATTTGCTTAGGTTTCTGCAACTGACAAAGAGTAGATTGGTTTGCTTTTTGCAATATCATAGATGTATTCAAAACAGTATCTTGGAATCTTGGATGTCTTAAAATTATGGCGTCTATATTTACCCACCTGATTTATAAAAAAAGGATCTAAATTGTAACAAAGTGCTTGTTAGCCAAATTATAGTGTAAAATGATGGCTCACACTATAATACCAGAAATATGTAGCACATGGCAATAGCAATAGCACTTAGACTTATATACCGCTTCACAGTGCTTTACAGCCCTCACTAAGCGGTTTACAGAGTCAGCATATTGTCCCCAACAATCTGGGTCCTCATTTTACCCACCTCGGAAGGATGGAAGGCTGAGTCAACCTTGAGCCAGTCAGCATCGAACTCCTGGCAGTGAGCAGTGAGTTAGCCTGCAATACTGTATTCTAACCACTGCACCACCAGGGCTCATACTGAACAAGAAGCAATGGATGGAAACTAATCAAGGAGAGATCCAACTTAGAAATAAGTAGAAATTTCCTGACAGAACAATTAATCAGTGAAATCGCTTGTCTTTGCCTGAGGTTTTAAGAAGAAACTGGACAACCACTTGTCTGAAATGGTAGAGGGATGTGATGGCGAACCTATGGTATGTGTGCCACAGGTGGCACACAGAGCCATTTCTGCGGGCACACAAGGTGTCGCCGTAGAACAGCTCCACTGTGCGCCTCCTGCTGGCCAGCTGATTTTTGGGTCTCTGCCGTACATGCGGGAGACGCGCATATGCCCATGCTGCCCTCCCCCTCCCAGGAGTCTCCACGCAGCCTGTTTTGGATGCCAGGTAAGTACAGGGCTCACGCGGAGGCTCTGGGAGGGCGAAAAACAGGCCTACCGGAAGTCCGGAAACGGGTTGTTTCCGATCTCCGGAGGCTTCAGGGAGGACTGCTAGGAGCACGGGGGGAAGGGGGTTGCGCGTACATGCGTGTGTGTATGGGAGCGTGGGAGGGTCGCATGCATCTGCACGGGGGGGCAGTGTGGGGGGGATTGTGCGTGCATGCGCAGGGGGTGGGGTGTGCATGGGAGTCATTGGATTATGGGTGTGGGTACGCACACGAGTGCTATTGCGTGCACGCACACACTTTTGCCACCCGAGGATAAAAAGGTTAGCCGTCACTGGTATAGGGTCTCCAGCATGAGTAGGGGGTTGGATTAGAAGACCTTCAAGTACGTTGCAATTCTGTTATTCTGTATGAACAAGGCTGGACCATGTGGTGTGTAGTAGGGAGTGAATTGTGTCTGCTCTTCTAATACAGAAGTGAGATTTTCATCAAGGTGATGGCAGAATTGTAACTGATAAAGTTTCTTCTCCATCTTCGGAGATAAAAAGATAAAGATTCCCTTGAATTGAACCTGATAAATTTACATGGATACAACCATATCATTTTGTTGGCAACCATATTAAAGTAATTTACCGTCATTTTCTTTTGAGACAGTTTCTCAACTTCCCAGTCTAAAACCTAGACCCAGGATTTGTTAGTGATTTCCTATTAAAGAACTAACCAGATCTGACTGGTTTAGCTTTTCAAGATTAGCCAAGTTACAGAACAGACATAATTATGCAAAGATGGCATGTTTAAAATGTCCACTTGCTTCCTGTTCCATAACTCGTCCAAGAAATAGAACAGGGTCTTCCTTGGTACCAAATGTGTAACAATCCTTAGTTTACGTCTAGCTATACATTTGAACTGAAATTGTTACCAGAACTTTCAAATCAAAGCTAGTATCTGGGCATGCTCCAAAAAAATTGGACATCGACTTCTTGAATTCTCAGCCAATTCAGTTGTTGTTTCTGCTGGCTAGGAATTCTAGAAGTTATGGACATAATATGTCTGGAGACGATGCACTGGAAAAACTGGGCTCGTTCTATACAATCACAAATGAAAACATGAATTAAAAGAAAAGCAAGACAACGTTGAAGAGATTGGCACAAACATGATTCCTAATAAGAGATTTCACAGCTGCATCGGATCTTGCCCATCTGTAAGATTGACCATCTAAGCTTGCCACGACTTGGATATGCAAGAGTTCCTTTGTGTAGTACAAGCTGATTTGTGCTTCTTTAGTTTAGACTCGCCAACCCGTACCCATGGTCTTAGACTACATCCATTGAAAAACCCTATTATTAAAGAGGAGAGGAAAGTACTTAGAAGGCAAAATTGATCTCTGAGAAAAAGTATGTTTTTATCCCCTTGTATGATGTTGCTTGTGTTTGGACAGGGGCTGAATCCACAACGATGGAGCGGCAGGTCAAGCATCCGCCTCAGGGCTCAATTTCTTCCATCACTTCCATGACGATGGTTCGAGGACCGGTTAAGATGAGGTTGCTCACAGTCCTGTAATCTGCATGGAGAACGTTGAGCCCGTTCACTGAAATCACAAACTGACAAACCTAAGAAGAGAAGAAGAAGAAGAAGAAGAAGCAAGCAAAGAAATTCAGTCATGATGCTGGAGAAAAGCAACAACTTTTTTGCTCTGCGCCTGAAAGCAAATTGGGTACGAAGCAGGGGTGAAATGCTCCCGGTTCGGACCGGATCGCCCCATCCGGTAGCAATGGAGGTGAGTGGTTCGGAGAACCGGTAGCAAAAATCCCTGCCCCCCCCCCACATGCCCAGCTGAGCCGCACTATCATCAGAGGCTTTTTTTCTTTTAAAAGCCTCTGCCGATCAGGCAGCTCAGCTTGGATCGTCAGAGGCATTTAAAAGAAAAATGCCTCTGATGATCCAAGCTGAGTTGCCCGATCGTCAGGCATTTAAAAGAAAAAAAGCCTCTGCCGATCAAGCAACTCAGCTGGGATCGTCAGAGCCTTTTGAAAGCATTTTTTTACAACCTCTTCGCCGAAGAGGTTGTAGAAAAAATGGTTTTTTAAAAAATTGGCCACATCCACCCAGTCATATTACCCCCCCCCACCAAGCCACGCTCACAGAACCGATAGTAACAAATTTTAGATTTCACCACTGGTACGAAGCCCCCCAAAACTTTCGCAGCACAAAGATACACTATGCCAGCAAAACATCTGTTTTAATATGACAGGTCCCAGCACTTTTATCGTTATCCATTAACATTTGAATGCCTCCCAATAATAAAAATTCTAATAAAGATCTTTCTGAATTTAACAAGGACAGCCTGCTAAACTGGAAAGACGGTTTACAGTGGCAGGAGGACAACAGAGGAAAGGCAAGGAATGTGACGGCTCTTGGCATGAAGAGGCAAAATTGCACAATCTAGCTGAAAAAATCCCAAGAGACCTGCTTTAATTTTGCAGAACTTTGGGAGAAAGTCTTAACCCAAATAAGAGCTACCAGGAATGTTAACAGGGAAGGCACTCAACGTTTTCCTGTACTGCAAAAAAATAATAATAAATAAATAAAATTTGACATATTCCAATCTTTTTGGAATGTTAATTAACTTCCTTAAAGTTATTGTTGACTGTGCAGTCTGGGAAGCAAAGATGCAATTCCCACTGCCCAAGATATTCTCAAGTTTCCTTATTAGAGCTGGCTTTTAAAATCGTCAGACTGAAAAACTCTCTATTTGTGAGACTCTTCCTTGGGGTACCTTATAATTACTGAGTGCGCAATGGGGTAGGCAGTATTTCCTTTGCACGGTTTAATGATTAGATCTTTTCCTGCCTTTTCCTTCATGAATCTGTTCGCCCCAGATTTTCTCCACCTACTCCGGGGCAGAATTAGAGTCCCCTATTTAAAAGAAGATAAAAGCTTTGTGTGAATATATCATAGGCTAGTCTTTCTTTTAGCGGTGACTTAAAATACAACAGAAACTGCTGGAGGCGGGCACAGCAATTTCCTGACAGCTTTCAGTCGTATAGTTCTGATTTTCTGCAGCTCATTTTGATAAACATGTGGGTGACTAGAAATAATACGGGGCAGAGCCTTGACATTTTAAAGCAACGAACAAAGCTTTCTGCAGCATCTGTCTGCAGTCCCATCTGTCAAACTTTGAGGATCCAAGATGTTTCTAAAATCATAGCATTTCAGCCAGTGGTGAAATCTAAAATTTGTTACTACCGGTTCTGTGGGCTTGGTTGTGGGGGTAATGTGACTCGGTGGGTGTGGCCAATTCTTTTTTTTTACTTTTAAAACCATTTTTTCTACAACCTCTTCAGCGAAGAGGTTGTAAAAAATGCTTTCAAAAGGCTCTGACGATCCCAGCTGAGTTGCCTGATCGCCAGAGACATTTTTTTCTTTTAAATGCCTCTGACGATCCAAGCTGAGTTGCCTTCAGGCAACTCAGCTTGGATCGAAAGAATCCAAGAAAAGAAAAAAGGTTTTTTTTCTTTTAAAAGCCTTTGAGGATCCCAGCTGAGCCACGCGATCATCAGAGGCTTTTTTTTTTTACTTTTAAAAGCATTTTTTCGGCCGAAGAGGTTGTAGAAAAAAATGCTTTTAAAAGTAAAAAAAAGCCTCTGATGATTGTGCAGCTCAGCTGGGCGGGGGTGGGTGGGGGGGGACAGGGGTTTTTGCTACCGGTTCTCTGAACCACCTGCCTCCATTGCTACCGGATCGGGCGATCTGGTCCGAACCGGGAGCATTTCACCCCTGATTTCAGCCCTCTTTGCACGTAGATTTTTCCAAATCTATCTTCCTGTCTTGGTTGTGTACATTTTCTGCAAACATTCCAATCTGTCAGTTCAATCTTCCAGTTGCTGGAACTGGGAATGTCTACTCTAACAAAGAGTCTTCCAATATTTGAAGGTCTGCCACAGAGAAGAGAGGGTCAATCTATTCTCCAAAGTGCTGAAGGCAAGACAGGAAGTAATGGACGAAAGCTTAACAAAGAGAGATCCAACGTAGAACTAAGGAGAAATTTTCTGCAGAACAATTCATCAGTGAAATAGCATGGCTCTAGAAGTTGTGGGTGCTCCATCACTGATGAAATGCTATGGTTTCTTTAAGAAGACATTGGACAGCAATTTGTCTGGAATGGCATAGGGCAGGGGTGTCAAACTCGATTTCATTGAGGGCCGCGTCAGGGTTGTGTTTGACCTCGGGGATGGGTGGGCGTAGCCAGCGTGAGCGTGGCCAGCTTGACATCACTCGGGTTGAGGGTGCCTGCGGTGGCCCGAGCACTCTGCCAGCGAAAATAAGCTCCCTAGCTCTGTTTCCGGCTGTGATGGCCTCCTGCAATCCTTGGCAGGGGTGGGTTCTACTTACCTTTACTACTAGTTTGCAATGGGATCACGCACACGCGCTCACTTTGCTCATGTGCATGCCTTGCTTCTGCGCATGTGCAGAAGCTTCTGCACATGCGCAGATCACCAATGACGACATCTGGATCGGTTGGCGGGGCCTCCCGCTGGTTTTATACCGGTTCTTGCGAACCGGTCCGAACCGGGGGGCAACCCACCACTGATCCTCGGCCTCCTGCCAGCAAAAACAGGCTCCCGAGCTCTGTTTTTGGCTGTGATGGCCTCCTGCAACCCTTTGCCAGTGAAAACAGAGCTCGGGAGGGCCGCCGTGGGCTGGTCCTTGGCTGTTTCCAGGGCAGCCCCGCAGGCCAGATCTAAGCACCCTGTGGGCCAGATCCGGCCCCCGGGCCTTGAGTTTGACACCCCTGGTGTAGGGTCTCTTGCTTAAGCAGCGGGTTGAATAGATGTTCTGCCCCAGCTCCGGATTTCCGAGGATATTGACACACACCAACGGTCCTTATCAAATTTATTAAGTAGCAAGAATAAACAAGACCGGCAAAGGTTGGCAACCAGCCCAGAAAACAAGATATGATAAACCAAAATACTCTGATAATAAATACGAGTTGTTTCCAGCAAGAACGCACTAGCAGCGTGCGACTTAAATGTTGTTTGTGTTATGTTTTATTTGATTTGTATACTGCCCTACTCCCGAAGGACTCAGGGCGGTGAACAGCCACAAGATAAAAACACATAAATACAAAATTTAAAAACAGAATAAAACCGAATTAAATAATTTGGCTGAAGACAGATTTAAAACACCCCAATAAATTAAAATAGGCTAAGGGAGTGGCCAATTATCCTCAAGCCCTACTCTCAAGTAGACCTCCTCCTCCTGGTAGCCACTCCTGCCTTTTGGCAGCCCTGTGTGCTCGAGCATTGAGGAGAGGCTCCTCCACTTCACTCTCTCCACTTGAAGGAGCCTCTGGAGGTTCTGAAGGCCCTGGCTGAGTCTCTGCCTCTGGCACCACATCCTCTTCAGCCTCCTCGCTGTCCGATGCGAGCGCCGGCTGTGCAGGCTGCTGGCGCAACCCCACACCAGCCTCGTCGTCGGGATCAACCATGATCCGCGCAGGCCGCTGGCGGGCCACAAAAATAGAAGACTGCCAAGGTCCCTTCCAAGTATGTTATTCTGTATGATTCAGGAAACATCTTAGCCCCAGAGCCATGACAAAAAAGCCAGGGGGTATTAAAAAAGGCAAGCCACCAATTCACCAATTAATTAGGGGGCAAATCCACTGCTTAAGCTCCATCATTTTTTTAATACAGTTTGTGTTACCTGTCATCTGAATTTTTAAATAAGCAAGGGTATTTAATTATAATGAGCTTCCCCAGTATGTCAACATTATCAGAGTAAAAGTATTTTAGGCAGGAACCGAGCGTTGTGCCTTCCATCAGAACATCTTTTGTTTCACACCCATCCCTACGAAGAGTCTTTCAGCACACACCGCATTTGTGTGAATGTCTCTCACTGCCATCTCATTGGCTGAGGAGTGGGTGGTGTGTGAGAGGGCAACAATCCAGCTCTGGCATAAACAGCAGATTGCAACGCCAGAGAATAAATATTAATCGCTTTCAACCAGCAGGAGCTCAAAGCCCGCCGGTGTCACATTACTGTAGAAACTTTCTAGGAAGTGTTTACTAGAAGTTCTGATTCCATTTGCAGAAGTGAGAAAAACAACAGTGTTTATCTTCTGCAGGATTCTTCTGCCTATGTGGCAATGCTCTTTGTGTAGCTAAAGCAAGTGATGAATCTTAACAAGTTAACAACAATGAGGCCAAGAGAGGACCAAGTCATTTATAAAGGTTCTGGAACACTTTACACACAGAGAGAGTAAAATCCCCTTTGAGTCAAATGTGATCCCTGTTGATTTCATGGTTTCTTCACCAGTGGTACAATGGGTTGCCACTTCTTTTTGCCTACAGTCAATGGATTCCCTGGAGATCTCATAATCAAGCAGGAGCCACATCTGAATTCTGCTTAGCCCCCAAGATGAAGGCTTTCAAAAAGAGAGTCCGTAGAGATTCTCAGTGATCCGGGTCATGGTTGTCCCAAAGGTGCTTTTTCAGGAGGCAACTGGACTTTCTTTGAAGAGGTTTTGCTTCTTATATTCCTTGCAGACTTGCAAGGAATTGCCAGCTGTCTGCAAGGAATATAAATCCTTCCATTCCCCACTATCCTCTCT